AAAATGTGCGACAGAGGAATTCTGAATAATTATTCTGACACAGGGGCTACAATATTGGCGTGCGGCTCGTGGACGAGTTCTTGGCCAAGTCTGGAGTGAGCAACTGCCAGGACTTCAAGGATACGGCCGAGGTGGTGGCTAAAGTGGCCTTCAAGATGTTCCTGGGTATAAATGTGGAGGTCTCTCAGTGGAATACTGAGGGTACAGCTTGCAGTCTCCTGATCTACGACAACCCGCTCACAGGTAGAGTGCTCTACTTTCTAAAGAGGGTGTTGGGCTGCTGCTCACGTTTTTTGTGTTTCTTGTTGTTGGCTGCAGAGTTTGTAGAGCTGCCACCGAGCGCCTACGGTGTCCTGTGGTACTCAAACGTGCTGTGTGGTGTGCTGCGAGGTGCGCTGGAGATGGTGCAGATGCGCGTGGAGGCGCAGTTTGTTAAGGACGTGCTGCAGGGAGACGAAGTGTCGGAGATCCGGTCGGTGAATTAGAGGCGAAATTTTAGCTGGTTTTCGTTAGCTGCTGACAGTAATGTGTGTTTGATGTTGACTGGTAGATTGGAGCTGAAGGGCATGATCGAAGAAGCGATGGGAGACGAGTACAAGGAGGACTAATTGCATCATTGTGTCGGGTAATATGAAGAATCTATCGGTTACCAAACTCTCGTGCCTCCGTCTTTACTGCTAAGCAGGCCCGGACATTAGTTTGCGCGGATATCCAGCTGTTCCCTGTCACAGAGAAATCTACTTGTCGACGCAGCATCTGTGGTCGTTGATCACTACTACTATCGTTTGATAGTAGAATCTCCTATGAAACTTCGCTGCAATAACCTTTCCGTTGCAGCTTTTTCGGCATTTTACATATAGGATTCCTCACGAGAATGATCTTCGCGCTTAAACTGTGTGTGGTGTGCACTTAGTAACGTAAATTTATTCAGGTGCACGATTGCAAGCCAGCATTCCACACCCTCCCCCGCAGATCGATCCGGACAACTTCGACCTTGACAGCACCAATCTCGCACAGTCGGAGCATCGTGAAAAGGCCAGGCCTGAATAGGCGCCAAAGCTGGCTAATATTTCGGCTTCACAATACAGACCAAATCTTGCACGAAGTAGAGCGCCATCAAGAGATCCAACCTACTGTATATTGGCAATTCACCCAGGAGACTCGGAGACGAATGCAACTGAGGAAATAGACTCCTGTCAATTTAAGAAGAAAATTTCGATTGTACGCCAACCTCATTTTGCATGCATTGCTGCGCATTTGCCATCGGGTATATTTAAATGCTTTGGTGTGCATTTGCCCCATCGGTGCTATTTTTTTCGTCCAGTTACTAAGGTTAACAAGTTATTTTACCGCCCCACTAGATAAGTAGTGCTCGGAATCGCAATCACGTTCGCCTCGTAAGTAGGCCATTCCTCGCCCGATGCATCGATCTGAACGGACCGCTCCGCTTAGCGGCAGCACAGGCGAACCAACTACAGCTCAACCAGCAAAATGTAATTATTACCCGAGCGCTGCGCTTTGGAATCGCCTTGAGGAAAGGTGGGGGGAGATACAAGTCGGTCGGCAAGGCTCCTACTCAGTCGAACGTCTCGAAAGCCTAGATCACTATTGCAAGACTACTTCGCAAGTTCGAGTTACTCTGGTTTGCATACTCACTCCAATACCTGCTCTGATTACCGCGTTGCTTCTGGAATGTCTACCATTAGAACCTCCGTCGAGAGGATGGAGTGCCAATTGGATGTTCTGGATTCGTTTTAGCTTAATGGTCTTCATCTTAGTCTTTGTCGGGATCGCAGCCTTCAATCTACTTGTTCCCAACTTCGGTCTTACGGTCAAACGAAGAATACTTGTAGCAATCGGTACGTGTGTCGGCTATGTGGGAACGTGTTTGTTCGCTGTGGCAACTAAAATTGTTGGATTCCCGATCCCGTTCGTTTGGCAAGGTGGGGGTCTACTTGTGGGAGTCTACACGCCTATGATGTTTTTGCTTGTGTTTGGATTGAGTCCATTCGCACAGAATTCGCCTTTCCGTCCGCACATTCGGAGATATCTACGATTGCTACTCGCGTACATGAGTCTGGGTGCAGTATTTCCGCTGTACAAATTGCTCTATGAATCAGTACCTGATGTTTATAAGGGTGGGGCCCTGGTTGTTCTGCCGTTGTGGAAATTTGCAGCCAAGCACTATATAATATGGGCGTCACGAGAGCTGGAGGACTTTATACCTGTCATTGTCGCCATGACGGTGGATTTCTTTAGCGCAATGTTTGTTTCAGTATGCATCTCCTCATCGGGGTCGCTTTATCTCTCGTTTTTGTTTATCGCAGTAGATGTGGGCCAAACAATGCTGGAATTTCGTGAAGTACGAACCAATGCTCAGACGGTTCTAGATCTCATTGAGAATCGATATGGATCCACGGCTTCTGTTCATTATGATAACGAGAATTCAGCTAGCGACTCGGATACGACGAAGCTACTACCGAAAATTCTAGCTATTACTCGGAATCCTGTTGCTTTTTCGGTGACTTCGCTCAAGCGCATTCGGTTGTGTGCGTGTCTGCCGCATCCTATTACTAAAGAACAAACAGAAAAAATTAAGATTTTAGAGGCGTCGGGTATGTACGGTCCAAAAGGTCTTATTTCCGGAAGAAGGAGAAGAAGGAGCCGACGACAGCACCAAGGAGCCCGCCGATTACTAAAAGGCACATCTATACTTCCAGAACCCAGTGCCAGGTGTGTTCCAGACAATATGATGCCGACTGGGGGAAAACCCAGAGAGCTGGTCGAACAGAGCTTGCAGCTGCTGTTCCACTGTGAATATTTGGCCCTGGTCGAATATGTTGAGTGCGTTATCCCACTAGTGTTTGCAACAAACAAGATGGTGCTGACGCATCTCCCGAATGTGGTCTACTACCCTGGAAATACGAATTGGGGTATGATAGCTCTCGCAAAT